AAATACTTGGTCCTGAAATACCATATATGAGTGCAATAGGAGCTCTTATGTATCTTTCTAATTGCACCAGACCAGATATATCTTTCGCTACCAATTTATTAGCAAGATATTACTCGGCATCTACGAGGAGACATTGGAATGGAATCAAGCATATATTCCGTTATCTCCAAGGGACAATCGATTTGGGGTTGTTTTACTCTAATGATAAAAAACATGAAATAATCGGTTTTGCAGATGCAGGATATCTATCGGACCCCCATAAAGGAAGATCCCAAACCGGCTATATTTTCACGATTGGTGGCACTGCATTTTTTTGGCGCTCCCATAAACAAACATTAGTTGCGACGTCCTCAAACCATGCTGAGAACATTGCACTTCATGAAGCAACTAGGGAAAGTATCTGGCTTAGAAACATGACTCAACATATTCAACAAGCCAGTGGACTATCGAACAATAATGACCCGACGGTGATATTCGAAGACAATGCAACATGTGTCGCTCAAACCAAATAAGGATACATTAAGAGTGACATAACTAGACATATCTCGCCAAAGTTCTTCTCATATGCGCAAGAGCTTGAAAGAAATAAACAAATCAAAGTTCAATACATTCGATCAAGCGATGATGCAACAAATTTGTTTACGAAGGCGCTTCCGACGATAATGTTTCGAAAGCACATACACAATACTGGAATGAGACATCTTCGGGATTTGCATAGATGATAACTCGAGGGGAGTATGTGCGGCTGTACTCTTTTTTTCCTTATCTCGGTTTTTTTCCCACAGGATTTTTCCAGATAAGGTTTTTAACGAGACAACATAAACGTACATTTAATAGTGGTAATTCCAAGGGGAAGTATTGTAAATATGTGGAATTTACCACTAGCTACTAATGAATCTTATCATACATTATTATATTTAATATGCATTGAAATGTGTGCCCACTCATCTATAAAAGGGGCCAAAATTAATGTAATGTAGGTACGGAAAAAGAAGAAGAAAGAAAGAAAGTGATTTATATCCGGTTTTTACATTGTGTTTTTTATCTTCTCCGCATTTTATAACAATTTAAAATATTAATAATAATTTTTTTACTTTAATGATTTAATTTAATATATAACTTATATTTTTATTTCACTCCTTTTTTTTTTTACTACTGGAGCTATCCCGAGACTTCACTACGAACTGCCAGCTTGATGAATATCGTGTATTTACCAAACTCGACTTGCCTCAAAACCCGCGCCGACGTCTTGATTTCTAAGCGATAAATTGCTAATACGCGCGTCGACGCCTTCGTACTTCGCGATTTTGTGAAGAAACTCAAATATTGATGTCAACTCACACGAATTAGCACACGAGATTGGTGATCGAATCGATCGATTTTCTTATTTCTTTAACTTGAATGATATATCTTATTTGAACATAAAAGTGGGTATTTATAGGTAAAACCCCACATCAATAAACCTAGTCCTAACAGAAATCAAATACTAATCCCAAGGTAACTAAATATCTAACATTCTAATACTTACCTAATAATTAAAATTTCTAACAATCTGAAATAACAATTCACAGCACTAAATTTATTTTCTAAACTAATTGCTAGCAATTCCTAACATCTCAATTATATATTGCCGAAACTAACTTGCTAACTAATAACAAATACTAACATTTAAATAAATCTACTAACTATAAATTTGTGTGGTTTGTGAATAAAAAAAAAAGAGAG